TGTGTTGCAGAAATGAGCTAGATTTTGCCAAGTATTTTAAAACTGAAGGCATAGTGTATGCTTTAAAATACGTGAGTAGTTTAAAACAGACTAGCAGTAGTAAGCGTGGCAGAGTTAGTGCAGCATCCTTCTTACTCAGGGCCGGATCATCGCATAGACAAATGAGACAAATGTCTAGGGCCCAGTTTCTAGAAGATCCCGTTCAAACTTTATTTTGAAAACATTTGTAAATAAGATTCTTTAGATAATTTAGATTTTTTAAAGCGATGATTAAATATTTCTTATTAATAAAAAATTAAGATTTGTTTTAGTTTTTCACATTATTTAGTTTTGTTTTATTTATTGTTTTATATTATTAGTGTGTTCTATTTCTCGTGGGAGAAGGAGGGGCCCAGTAAAAAGAAAATGTCTACGGCCCGAAAGTGGGTTAATCCGGCCTTGCTCATACTGTCTGTGAGCTTTGCACTCTGGTATATTGGGTCCAGAAGATTTGCTAAAAGGTGATAGTCTGTGATAGCCATATCAAATCTGTCTTTGGCTGCTTGCATGACTCCAGTGATCCCAAGTTGTTGCAAGTCATTTTGAACACTATAAAAGTAATGTTATAAAAAACTTTTGCTGCAAAAGTAATTAATAAAATTTTCATAGATAACAATGTATATGTATTAGCCCATAGATTTTTGGAAAAGGACCGTTTTTTCATAACACTATGGAGATAACTCGGGTGAAGAACTAAATAATATCTATATAGATTCAATTGAGTTATGACTCAAGAAAACTTTATAGCAAGCTATAGAAAATTTTAAAACTTATAATGGTTCAAAATACTCACCCAGCTTTTGTAATTCCTGTATATCATTATGTAGATGGTTATCTTCAATATATTTTTTCATACTAGCGACTAATCCAACCATTTCTTTCCTACATACTGTATTTTGAATTGCACCTGCATGCCAGTTTTCCTGGATTTCCAGAAATTAGTTTTTACTGGTTCCAGATATTATTAAGCCTTCTTCCTGCACTCATTTTTTACTTAACAAATAACGATGATGATAATAATGTTTTTTTCCATTCAAGTAATATTACATTAGCTGTATTGTTAACAGTGTTAATTGGCATGTGCTATCAGGAAATCTCTTAGTGATAAAAGTTGCAATGTCACGTGCTTTCATGACCCATGAGAGAGAAAAATTTCCCATTCCTACGCTCACGTTTAGCTCACAAGTCAGAAAAACTTTATTTACTAAATTTATGTAATAAAACATTCTTTTTTAAATTTAAAACATTGTTTTAAAACAGTATTTTATAATGTAACTAGCTTACCCGTCGCGCATTGCTGCGATCTCAGAAGAAAGGAAATTCAAGCAAACTCGTTATGATAAAATTCAATTTACATTTTATTATTTTTATTGAAACTTATTATTATTATTCATTTTCATCGGGAAAANTGTTTTATATATATATATATATATATAATGTGTCTACAACTCCTAGATGTATTGTGTGGTTCAAGCATAGAATCATCTCACTAGGACTTTCCCTTCTAAACTTCTTCATTATGTTTGGACCATTGCTGGTGGTGGCCACAATATGTTTTTCAAAATCCAATTGAAATTCTATCAATGTATCTTCGACTATTTGTCTGGTCTGTTCGGCACCGCATTTTCCGGATATATATGTTATCGCTAAAGCTCGAAAGCTGTTAATGTGTACATTATCTAGCTAATCTGCAGATTAACTAGGGTGATCCGTTAAAGTTGCGAAAATTGTTCCATTTCTCAAATTACCTAGGTAATCTGCACATTACCTACTAGGCACTCCATAAAGTGAAAATAAGATCATTGCCACAAATAAATGTACCAGAAATAGGTGTGCTTGTCACAAAAAAGAATTGCTGTGTAATTCAAAGTGTCACCAATCTTTAGACTACACTAATAAGTAAGCACAGTTGGTTAATGTTACCTATGGTGACTAAAATGGCGGCTCATCTCTGATTCCAGCAAACAGAAGAAAGAAAACAGTGGGGACGCACGTTCTAACCTAAACTAACCTATTCTAATAATTTGGTTGGTAATAATTATGGTATTTTATTAGAATAGGTTAGGTTAGGTTAGAACGTGCGTCCCCACTGTTTTCTTTCTTCTGTTTGCTGGAATCGGAGACGAGCTGCCATTTTAGTGACCAAAGATAACATTAATGCACAATTTTATCATGCGACCACCAGAAAAAGTATGATAACTTTCTTATTTTTCGTCTCTGGTCCAAAAGTAGGGTATCGTTGAACTCGTCTCGGTCCCCTCAGTTTAGATATATACTCAAAGTTCCGAAATTTCATAGGTGGTATTCTATATAATCCCCTATTTCCCTAATTGTAATAATATTTTAAACCGTTTGATTTTTTGTATTACAGTTTTTTACTTGATTGATGATTGATTCTATTAACTAATTTGTTGATTGTTTAATTGTATTAACTTGATTCTTTAGATATCGAAAATTAAATAAACAACATTATTAGTAAAATTGAAGACAAAACTGTCATAAAGGAAACAGCCAAAATCCCCAAAAAGAAGGTATAGATGGATGTAAGCAGGACAACTGTATGTCTCCAGTTCCTTTTTCAGAAATTTTTATAATTTTAATTGGATGTGTTTTGTGTTTTTTAAAAGGACTTTTTGTAATTTTCCGGCAACGTGCAGCCTACAAAGAAAGGTCAGTCGCTGAGAATGTGTTAGTCTTGGAACACAAAATATAAATGGTGATCCTTTTTGGACAGTTTTGTCTTCAATTTTATTAAAAATATTTCTCCGTCGGACGAACATTTACAGGATAAACAACATTATGTTAATTTAAGCGTACAGAAACATTGCTGTTGTTCCAGCAAAGATCTTATTTTCACTTTACCGAGTGCCTAGTAGGTAATGTGCAGATTACCTAGATACTCTGCACATTATCTAAGTAATTTGAGAAATAGAACAATTTTAGCAACTTTAACGGATCACCCTCGTTAATCTGCAGATTAGCTAGGTAATGTACACATTAACGGCTTTCGAGCTTTAGCGGTAACATATACACTAATCCGAAATTGAAAACTTCTCCATTCACACCATGCAGACACAAATTAAAGTATTTCTGGTTTCAGATGCTGTTCCATTTGTCATCTGAAAGACTGAAATGTGTACCAGAAGTGACAAAATCTTTTAAAGTCTGAATAATTTCTTCTTTTGTCTTTTCATAATAACTCAATATGATTTTCATGACATCAGTTTCGTTCTTAGGCATTTTATATATAACCTCTCTGGATAATACCCTCATGAATGAATCTACTCTTTGTGATTGCCCTTATTATAAGTCCATCCTCTGCCACCAAGTGGGAAATTATTTCAGGCAAAGACTTTTTTGCAACATATCCTATTATTGTAGACTGCTTTTCAGTTTTAATATTTTTTTATTCTAGTTTTCAAGATGTTCCAGGCTGTATAACTGATTTTGATTCTTCTGGTTGATTTACAAAAATATTGTGGACTCTTTGGAGGTGCCTATCAAGGCCTGTAGTATTCGACCCTTTGCATGAAATTCATTTTGGACATAATGAGCACTGTGTGGTTGATTCATTTAATTTTTTATAATGTTTTCATACTTTTGCTATACGTTCTATATTAAATGAATAGGTTGGTATCTATTTAAATTTATATTAATTAAATTATCAACAACTGTGAGGCAGATAATAGTGAAGGGTTATCAGACCAATGATGGGCACAAACTCACTATTATCTGCCTCATGGTTGTTGATAATTTAATTAATATAATTATACCAAGGACTAGAAGCAACTTTTGTAACAACTGTGGGGTTATCAGACCAATGATGGGCACAAACTCACTATTATCTGCCTCATGGTTGTTGATAATTTAATTAATATAATTATACCAAGGACTAGAAGCAACTTTTGTAATAATTTTGTTACTATTTAAATTTGTTGACGATCTGTAACAATAATAATAATCCAAAATTAATGCTATATCTTTGTTTACCGAGTATCACTATATCATATCAATTACTTTTTTTTTAATAAAATAACAAATCTCATCCAATGTAAATGTCTAACTGAAGTAAATAAATCTAGTGTTTGTTTAAACTTACATGAGATGGGCATCGTTTATACAAGAGCGTTGCAACACAACTGCACACAGCACTTTACCTCATAAAGTGAAATTGACGACTGGCTGAATGAGCTGACAGTGCTGACACAGACAGTCACAAATATCATGACCTCATAAACAAACGTCACAAAATAACAATATGGTGGCGAACGCATTTATTGTGTACTCACTCAGTATGTTACATAGGAGTATCAAGTAATTACTCATTAAGCTAACAGATGGCGCTCTCAATGATGGAGTGCAGGAAGCTAATAAAGTTTATTATGATCTTTTGAAAATAAAATTATTACAATACAGTTTTGACAAGTGTGTGTCGAGTCTTGACCTGAAAATCCCGGGACCTAAGACAATTAAATTTAGAAAAAGTCCAGGGACTTCGAAACACGAGACGTTCTGGGACCCAAACCCTAGATATGATACTACTTGAGTTGTCCTATTTCTAGTTTTTTATAGTCACTTTCTATAAAGTAGAAAAATTATTTTTCTTTTCTAAAAGTTTACAACAGGATAACTGCCTTAGCTTTGAATTTTCTAATTTAAAGCATGTTTTTGTCACTTATGTAATGCAAAAGCATTAAGAAATTTTTTTTCCTATCTGTCATGAATTTGGCTAGGTCTTTAGTTTGTTGGAACAGCTAGATTTTGAGACAGCCCAACACATCTGGATCAAACCATGTACAAAAACTTAAGGCTTCATCTAGGCTGTGGAGCAGTAGGCTAAGTCCTTTACATTTACTGTATCATTGAAACATAACTTTAATAACAAAAATTTGAGAATTTAACACTGAAATTTTATTTGTTATGTATTTTATATAATACTTAAATATATGCATCTCTTACAGATTTAGTGGCATTAATGAAGGTGATCTAGATAAGGTGTCGACAACTATAGAAGACGTTCAAGCTGTTCTACTTAGTTTATTTAATAGTAACACCATTCTTATTGGTCACTCTTTAGAAAGTGACTTCAAAGCATTAAAAGTAAGCTGTTTTGTAGTTTTCTAAATTCATAATTATTGAAATTCTATACTAATGCAGAAATAATATTTTAGCTAATTCATAGCACTGTAGTAGATACGTCAGTTGTATTTCCTCACAAAATGGGTCCTCCCTACAAGAGAGCACTGCGCACCCTAATGGCAGAATATTTGAATAAGATCATTCAAAATAGCGGTAAATGGTTTTTTTTTATGTTTAGATCATTGCACAATACAATCATCTAAATAAATTATTCATTTTAGTTGATGGACATGACAGTCAAGAAGATGCTCTAGCATGCATGGAATTGATGCTGTGGAAGATAAAAGAAGATGTAAAAAAGTCACTGAGGTGACAGATTTTATTTTGGTTGCAAAACTTGTGGATCCAAGTTGTCCAGATTAAGCAGCCACATCTCATGTAAATATTTTGATAATTCAATACTTAACATAAACGTCCATAAAGTTGTTTCTGTAAATATCTAAGTTGTAAAATTTGTTTTTCACTGTATTACTATCAACATTAAATAGGTCACTTTTTTTTTATAATAGTGTTGTTTTATTCAATTACATCATTGCATAATATTCAATTTTCTGCATACCAATTACAAAAGTTTGCACATCTCATTAGTCTGTAGATTTGCAAACATTTATTTAAAGCTTTTCATAAAGGAATAATGAAAAGGGTTGTTTGGAAAGTAGTACCCATTTTAGAATTAAAAAGTAACCAATACAGATTTATTTTAAAAATTTATAATTTTATCTGCAAAGCATAGGCCAGGGATGGCAAACCTTTTTTAGCCTGCATGCCGTATAGTAAGCATACCTCTAAAGTTGTTTATGCATGCCAAAGTTTTAGATTTTGTATAAGGGGCCGTCCATAAATTACATAAGGTATTTTGGGGTGAGTGGGGGTCAAGGATTTCTTACTTGGGTAGGGGTAATAGATCTCATCTTACATAATATTCTTATTTTTACTCTTTGATCTTGTTGAGTGGTGGAGTTTTGAATTTGGCTTCAATTTGGCCATTTCTATTCAGAACACTTGTACTAAAGCCATCTCGTGTGACATGATAAAATAATAACACTAGCAGACTCATGCTCTACACATTTTTTTTCATGGGAGAAAGGCTGTGTGGTGGTTTCTCTCTCTCTTTTTTTTTAAAATAGAATAAGTGCATCACTCCTATGGATGTATAACACTAAGAATACATAAACCAAAATGCATGATACAAAGTAAACATAAAATTAGTATTTGGCTTTTAGTGAAAACTAAAATGTAAAACTAGATATTAGAAATTATAAATAGTTTTTTCTTTCATGTTTTTTGAACATAATTGTAAAAAGCATCAAACAGTGGCATCTGAACAAGCTTATTGAGTGGACATGGCCACCTGAACCAAGCGTAAAGATTTCTAATTTCAGAATAAATGTATGTTGATTGTAAATTGGACAATGATAGATCATATGGTCGACGGTGTCTAGGTTTTCTGTAAAGCAAAAGCAAGAGGCAGTTTCTGTCTGGTTATACATTGCCAGGTAGCTTCTAAAATTATCATACTCAGTAAGTAGTTGAGCATTAGCAAATGTTAAATCTCTAAGTGGTGATGAGAACCTGCATTCAACACTAGGAAAATAAAGTCTTGTTATTCTACCAGTTTTAATGCTCAACCATTGTTGATTCCACTTTTGCTTAGCATTGCCATGAATATAATTTTTAAGGCTGCTATATGAGAGAGGGATGTGAGTGTAGTCCAGGGGTGGCCAACAGTTTTTTGTCCTGGGCTGAATTGGAAAGAAAACTTTTTCCACGGGCCGAACCAGAGGCTGCCCTAGGAAGATTTTCAGGTGGTGCGAGATCTCATTGTGGTGTCACCATAGAAACTAAATTGTAGATAGAGATTACAGATGCATTTTTCACATTATTATGCTTTATCAACATTCTACGCTGTACTTACGAGATTTGTAATGGAGGGTTAACTCTAAACGCACAGTGAAGAGTTGTTGATTTTTTTCTTTTTTTAGGCATCAGAATTATTTTTCATCGAGCTATTCGGACTTGAGTAGCTAATATGGAAAGATTGATTGCGGGCTACATAAATTCATTAAATGGGCCATATGTTGGCCATGCCTGGTGTAGTCCAAAGTCAGTGTCTTTTGCAGCTGACTTTGCCTCAAAGTCGGCTTTATTCAAGTATGCCAGTAAGGCCAGGAAAAAATATAAAAGTTATCTTATTTACAAGATTTTTAATATGGTGCTGGATATATGTGATTTTATTACTATTGCAATTGGGATTTTATAGAGCTTTTATAAAATTATGCCTAAATATTACATAAAATAGGGAAGGGGGATCAAAGAAAATAGTTTCTTACGTGGGTGGGTGGGGATTTAGAATGGCCAAAATCACCCTTAAGTAATTTATGGATGGCCCCAAACAATCTTTAAAGAAATTAAACAAATACACTTTAAATGTAGAATAAATGTAAAAAAGCTGATTGAAAAAAGCACAATCAGGTGATAAACTGAAAGGATAATTGGAAAAGACAGATGACAAATCAAAATCATATAATATGTTACATGCCAGATGATTTCCCCCTGTGTGTCAAAGGTTTGTCACCCTTGTCAGGCTACTTTTTTATGTATGTAACCTGGAAAATTAAACATTTAAGGTCAGTTCATACTTTGAGAATGAAGATAAGTAAAATGTGCCTCTTCTTTTCTAGTGTTCCTCTCTCATAAGCATTGAGTCAAAACAGAAGAGAGGCACTTGCATTTTTGATATCTGCAGTTTAAAATAGGTTGCCTCAGCTATAACAAAAGCATGCTTTAAAAACTTGGGTTGTGAAATTCTTAAAAAATGAGAGTATACATAGTTTATTAATTAGAAGAGAATGCAGAGATTATTATAGCCCGATAAAAGAAATTAAAGTTGACGATCCCAAAGTGTATTTTCAATAAATTTGTTAAGTTTTAAATACACGCTGTCCCAAATTAAACTTGACATTTTCCACTTGGCTATGGAAAAAACTATCAGTCATGAAAGTTTGGTAATGCCTTGATGAGATTGGAATTTTCTAGAGCAAAAAAGTTAGTTCCAAAAACTACCAGTAGTTCTGTATTATAGCTATATTTTAGTCAGGGTTGGCATGATTTTAAAAAAATGTTTTAAAACATTTATTAAAACATGTTTTAAAACATAGGCATTGGATTTAAAACATGGTTTTTTTGGAAATAAAATACTTGATCTAGTAAAATAGAAAAAGAAAAAAAAACCAGAAAATCTTCAGTGTAAGACTGAAGAATGTACAGAATGTTTTATTTAATATAAAATATAGCATTTTTAAATGTTTCTTTATGCAATGGCATTTTTAAGATTTGCATGTACAAATACCAAAACAGGATTGACAGCAGTGGCTTCTGCAGCTTGAAGAATTTCTTATTTTCAGAAATGTACAGCTCTCAGTAGTGTTTGTTTAGGTACTTGAAAACTTTAACAAGCTTTGCTGCCTTTTCCTGTCCAAGTCAATTTCTAAGTTTTGAATGAACAAGTCCATAGGTAGAGAAAATTCTCTCAATTCCCGCTGAAGAAGCCACTGCTGTGTGCAGCTATGTAACTAATTTTAAAACAGGTTCATCAGTTCTGTCATGTAATGACTGCCACCATGTAAGAGGAGTGATATTAGTTA